AGCAAATTGAATCTGGTCATATATAACCAGCTTGATCAAGTTGAGTTTATCTTAGGAATGAAAGGTTGTTTTTACACTAGAAAATCAGTCAGTATACTTTATCAGTTAACAAATTAGGGGATAAAAACCCAGATGTATGGAGACTGTATGTATTAGTGTGTGAAGACAAAGATAAAATTCAGCCTCCATTCATGTTATAAACTCTTAGCAAACTAGAACTAGAGAACTTTTTTAGGGAGATAAAAGGTTCCAAAACAAACAACCAACCAAAAACCACACACAGAACCCAACACAATAGCTGTAGAATGCTAAATGATGAAATGTTGACCTTTTTCCCTCCAAGTTGAGGGACAAGGTGTTGATGCCTGCTGTGCCCCCATTGCCATTGTTATTAAATATAGTGCTAGGACTTCTAGTCCACGCAGTGAGGCAAGAGGAAGAAAGAGACGGTATAACTGCTGAAATGAAGAAAACCATCATTACTCTTAGATGGAATGATCATGTAAATAACTTATCTGTAGATTCTTTGGAATTTTTAAGAAAGTTTAAGAAGTGTGACTATAAAACAATATTTTAAAAAATCAGTTTTATTTCTGTATGCTAGCAAACAGTGCTTTAGACAATGAAATTAACAGCAGAACCATTTATAATAGAATCAAGAAACAGGAATTAAATCTGACTTTAAAAAGCACAAGACCTCTAGGGGAAAATTGTGACTCTTAGTGGAGAGAATATATCATATGTGTGTGTATGTCTGAGTGTGTTGTAACTCGAAATCTAATTTAAAATTTTTATGGGAATACAAATTACAGTTGACCTTTGAGCAATACACATTTGAACTGTGCAGATCCACTTATATGTGGATATTTTCAGTAGTAAGTACTACAGTAGTACAGGATTGATGGTTGGTTGAATCCGCTGATGCTGAGGAACCATGGATACTGAGGGCCTGCTATAAGATATATGCAGATTAACCCCCGCCTTGTTCAAGGGTCAACTGTATCTAGAATAACCAATACATTCCTTTTTTTACATTGAAGTGTAGTTGATTTACAATATTTTGTTATTTTCAGGTATAAAACATAGTGATTCAATATTTTATAGAGTATACTCCATTTAAATTTATTGCAAAACAAAGGCTGTATTTCCCTGTGCTGTACAATATATCTTTGTTGCTTATCTGTTTTATACTTAGTATAAAACTTAGTATAAAACTTTTATACTTAGTAGTTTGTGTCTCTTAGTCCCATACCAAGATATTCTTGAAAAAGAACAAGTTGGGATGAGTTGGCCTACTAGGTATGGAGAGTTATTGCAAAGCCATAGTAACTAAGATGTGCTCACTAGTACGGGGATAAACAAATAAACGAAGAGAACAGGATAGAGAGCCCACATCAGACTCAGGCACGTATGGACACTTGACCTCTGATTTCTGAGGAAAGGACAGCTTTTTAAATAAACCGTCCCGGGACAATTGAGTATTCATATAGTAAAAGTAAATTCAGAACCCTGTATTTCACAGTGCACAATCCATTCCAGGTGGATTAGTGACCTAAATGTGAAAGGCAAAGCTATAAAGCTTTTAAAGGCTTTAAAAGGTAATATAGGAGAATGTCATCATTACGTCAGGGTTGGGAAAGATTTCTTAAACAGGAAATAAAAAGCAATAAAATAAAAGATTGATAAATTGGACTACATTAAAATTAAGAATTTGGGATTATCCAAAGATGCCATAAAGAGAATGAAAAAGTAGACTCAGAGTAGGAAAAGATATTTGTAATATGCAATTGAAATTTAGTATCGAAAATGTCTGAAGAACGGATCAGTAACCTTTCTCTTTAAGGTAGGGATGCGGGAGAGGATGTGATGGGGAAGAAATGCACTGAGGAAAGCATCTGCATGTTTTCAAATGTTTGCATTCTTTTCTCTAAACTGAACTTATGTTTTATGCATTTCTCTCTGTATAAGCACATTTCTTAACCAAAAAATGGAAAGGAATGAAAATGATAAAGAAATACAGTTACTGTATTAGTTTTCTAGGGCGACATAAAATACCACAGACTGGGGGCATAAACAGCAGAAACTCATTTTCTCACAGTTCTGGAGGCTGGAAGTCTAAGATCAGGATGTCGGCAGGTTTGGTTTCTCTGGAGGCTTCTCTCCTGGCTTGCAGATGGCACTTTGTTGCTGTGTCTTCGCATGTGCTTGAGCATCCGTGGTGTCACTTTGTGTTTTTGAGTTTCCTCTTCTTATAAGGATACCAGTCAGATTGAATTAATGTCCACCCTAGGGGCCCCATTTTTCTTGATCTCCTCTTTAAAGCCCTCTCTCCAAATACTCTCACATTCTGAAGTGCTGGGGTGAGGGTGGGGTTAGGGCTTCCACATACGAATTTCTGGAGAGACACAATTCAGACATAATAACACTGATTATGTCATAAAGATTTGAATAGCAAATGGATGCTTGTGATGTAGATAAAATTTCCCAAGCCAATTTTTGGATTCAAAAAGTACTAGATCTAAAAAAAAAAAACCTAAGATAGAAGTAAAGATGTTGTGCTCTGGAGAAGTATGTTAAATGACTCAAAATATGGATTTAGTACTGATGTTAATTATGTGTGTGTAAAGTTGGGATGCATTTTTTGAAAATGTAAGAGTGATAAAAAGCAATTTCTGAATTAATTTACTATTTTACACAAGTACTTTCTAACATAAATGTATACCTAAGTGAATAAATGTAATTTTAAGTAGATCTTTTAGTCTCATCTTCATCCCTAACATGTATAAATTCTAGTGGACAAAAAAGTTTTTTAATCTTTTCAGTGGGAGAAAAGAGGATGCATTTTATTTGGTCATATATGGCACAGATCATCCTTGACTTACAGTGGGGTACATCCTGATAAGCCCATTCTAAGTTGAAAATATCCAAAGTTGCAGCATCTTAAAAGTCAGAAAATTATAAGGTGAACCGTTGTAAATTGGGAACCATGTGTATTTTTATTAGGGTAAGCTCTACTATGACACAGTATGTTCATTCCTAAAATTTGCCCCACTGTGCAAAATCATGCAATGAAAACCATAGGGCTTATGGGAAAATGAAGACACAACACTCAAAAACTTTGTTAGTGACACTTAAAAGCGTTCCTAATAAAAATAGCAGCACGGTTTTAGACATGTTAACTAGTTAAGAAATACGTAAATACTATAACAAACATTGCGCTTTACCTTAGAAGAGACCTGAAATTTTCTTGTGGAAGTGGGCATCAGAAGGGTTGTGTTATGTGAGTTATTACGAAGTGATGGAAGGAGAGTCATATGAAATTGGAGGGAAAATTGTGATACCAGGTACGGATGAGTGTGGCTCATAACACACATAACAAATTGAGTTAGCCAGTAGGTGTTTGGGGGGGTGTGTTTTGTGTATTCCTGTATGGCTTGGTTTAGCTGGGTGAAGTTTTTACTGTTCATCTTGGGTTTCTTGCAGATAAAATCACACATAAGCAAACACAAGAGTCTTGCTATGCTCAGGTTGTTGCCTAATGTATCATGTTGGAACATATTTGTGTTTTCATACAGCATAATAGCAGAGTTTACTGTACTGAATTTTTAATATCATTCATAGCCCCATCTTTTCCTCTTTACATGTTTGGTAAGGATTTTGCATTAGGCTCTTTTTAGTGAAATTTTGAAGTAGTCAAAACTAATGTGTAACTGTTACATAACACCTTAAGTGGCTTGGTGAATTTTAAGTTTTCCCTGGCTAATAAACTGAGTGGTTTGGGTGTGGACTCAGAGTTTTGCTTAAGTCAGGTGGATGATCACTGTGCCACACAGAAAAGCATCAGTTCTTTTGTTTCAAACAAGATCATTATGTTCGGTGACCCCCCTGTTTCTGGTATTGCTACTAGGGTACCTTTAAGCCTTAACCTGAATCAGTATTAAAAGAGCATGTGAGTGGTTATGTTTTGGGGTCCTTCCCATTCGTTTGTTGCTTTTTATCCACTGTGGCTATTTTATTCCAAAGCCTAGTAACTACAGGTTTCCAGAAGTCTTTATTCTTTCACTCTCTCTCCCTCGACTGGAATGGTCTGGCCAGACAAGGGAGAGAGAGTGAAAGAACAGTGAGGGTAAATGAAATGGCTTCTCCTGGTTTTCCTGACCTCCTGCCACAGTTTCTTTTGATCACTTTCAAGACCCTCATTTTCATGCCCTGGGCTGGAAAATCAGCTTTCCCTCACAGCGTTTCCATTTCTGTCTCCTGTCTAGGCATTCCTTTATGTTTCTACTGTCCTCTGTGCACACATTCCTGTTAAAGTATATATCACATTGTTTTGGAGTTTTGCAGAGTTGGGCTCTCTCTCTGAATAAACTGCATACTTCTTGAGGGCACAGACCATATCTTTATCCTTTTTACATTTCTACTACATAGCTCAGTGCTTGGCAGTGGTAGTTGAGTGAGTGGATGGATGAACGAATGAGTTGGTCTTGCCAGAGGGCTGTTCATGTGATCCTATTATTTGTGTTACCCCCTCATTTTGACTAAAATACATAATCTCTAGGTATCTTGGCCACTTGAACTTTAATATTATGAATCAGACTTGTGCATTCAAGCTTTTTAGCGGTACCATAATAAAATTTCCTTTTGTTGAACCAGAGATTGTACACTATCTGTTTTGTTTTTGTTTTTTGATTTTTGGAGGGTTTTCTGTTTTGTTTTTGCTCCAAATAGTAAATGAGCATGGTTAATTTGCAACTTTAGGATTAGGGGTTTTTATGACAATTGAGTAGTAAGATCCCATTTTTCAGCTTGCTACTATGAATTAAAAACAATTATTTTTTAAATTTTCAAATATTTATATGTTTATTAAGTGGAATAAACTAAAAAATGGGGAGAGTAGTTCTTTTAAGATAATAAGGGAAAATGTTATGGCTCAATTCTTTATTATTGCAACTGTAAGTAATTTTTGAATTGTTTTTAAGATTTTCTTTTTCTTCTTATAGGACCTCTTTGTTGTTAGACATGAATTGGCCATAATGAGACTAGCTGCCTTTATGGGCATTACAATGTTAGTTGGAATAACTGGACTCTTTTATACTCAACTAATTGGCATCATCACAGTAAGTATATTTTTAATGTAAAGTAATGTATTTGTGAACATATTCTCTAATTATGAACTTAATTCTAAAAAGTTACAGGAAGTTTAGAAATTAAAGAGGAAACTTATCCGTAGTCATTTATGTATTTCCATTTCCATATGCCTGTGTAATTTTAAAGTAGTTATAATCAGTGTACAGAGTGTACATATAATTTTGTATCCTGCTTTTAAAAATTAGATTAAAGTATTTTTATATGGCTACAGATATCATGTTTATAGTTTTTAATAGTTGGATATACTGTTTAGTGAACATAACATATTTTAATTAATCATTTTTCTGTTGATCAGCATCTACTATGCAATCTTTTTTTTCTGTATTACAAATAGCTCTTTGAACATCTCTTTTTCCTCTTTAAACTACTAACTTAAGGTAAATTCCAAAAAATGGAATGTTGCTGGTAGAAACATTTTATTAGTAATTAAACGGGGTTTTTTTTAATGTATTTATTAGCCAAAGCGGATTTGTCACAACAGAAAAGATTTTAAAAATGAGAAAAATAACATTGGTTAAGGATTTAAAAGTTTGGAAATACACTGCATTGCAGAAGATGCAGAGTAAATAGGCTTTTTCGTATGTTGTTGGCGGGGGTATTAATTGGTATAAACTTTTTGAAGGGCAACTTGTCAATGTCTATCAAAATTTTAAAGGCACAACCCTTTTGACCAACCTCTAGATACTGTTTTTTCACATGTGTGTAAATAAGTGTGTATATTAAAAAAGATCTTCATTGTTATATTGATATAGTGTATGGAAACTCAAGTGTTTATAAGACTATATTCAGTGGAAAAAAATGTAAGAAAATGCATCAAAACTTACTTTAAAGCAACAGTAATCAAGAAAGTGTTGTACTGGCATAAAGATAGATGAAATAGAATTGAGAGTCCAGAAATAGACATATATATCTATGGTCAATCAGTTTTTCAGCAAGAGTAAGTAGCAAGACTATTCAGTAGGGGAAAAGAAAAGTCTTTTCAACAAATACTGCTGGGACAGCTAGGTATCCACATGCAGAAGAGTGAAGTTGGGCCCTTACCTCATACCATATATGTAAATTAACTCAAAATGGATCCTAGACCTGAATATAAGATCTAAAGTTATAAAACTCCTAGAAGAAAACATAGGATTAGGCAATAGTAAGGATTAGGCAATAGTAAATCTTAGACTAGGAAATAATATCCTAGATATGAAACCAAAAGCGTAAATAAAGAAAAAAAAGATAATTTGGACTTACTCAAAACTGTAAACTTTTGCACTTCAAAGGATGCTATCAAGAAAGTGAAAGGACAGCTCACAGAATGGGAGAAAATATTTGCAAATTGTGTATCTGATAAGGGACTTGTATCTAGAATAAAGAACTCTTAAACTCAGTAATAAGAAGGCAACCTAATTAAAGCATGGGGAAAGGACCTGAATGGACATTTCTTCCAAGAAGATACAAATGGACAATAAATACTACATGAAAAGATGCTCAACATCATTAGTTACCAGGGAAATGAAAATCAAAACCATAATTAGGTGTCACTTCTCATGCACACTAGGAGGCTATAATAAAAAAAGGTAATAACAAAGGTTGGTGAGGATGCAGAGGAAGCAGAACCCTCATGCACTACTAGTGGGAATGTAAAAGGGTGCAGGTGCTTTACAAAATAGTCTGACCATTCTATAAGTAAACATGAGTTATGTTTTGATTCAGCAATTCCACGCCTAGGTATGTACCTAAGAGAAATGAAATGTATGTTCACATAAAAATTTGTACATGAATATTTATAGCAGCATTAGTCATAATAGACCAAAACTCTCAGCAATCCAGATATCTATCAGCTGGTGAATGGATATATACAAAATGTGGTATATATCCATAAAATGGAATATTATTTGGTCATAAGAAGAAGTGAAGTCGTGATGCATGCAACACCATGGATGAACCTTGAGAGCATTATGCTAAGTGAAAGAAACCCGTCACAAGAGGTCATGTATTTGTATGATTCCATTTATATGATATGTCCAGAATAGGCAAGTCTATAGAGACAAAGTAGATTAGTGGTTGTGTGGGGTTGGGGAGCTAGTGGGGGCTGGAGATAATGGCTAAAGGGTACAGGGTTTCTTTCATAGGGTGATGAACATGTTATAATATTGATTGTGGTGATGGTTGTATGACTCTGTGAACATACTAAAAAACCATTGAATTGTATACTTTAAATGGGTGAATTTTATGGTATATGAATTATATGTCAATAAAGCTGTTAACAAAAAAAGAATATTTCTAGCATAAGTTAAATGTTAATTTTATTCATTTGTTCATATTCATTCATTTATTTATTCATTTTATATATGGTTTGTTGATGTCCTTTGTTTTCTATTCAGGTGTTCTTTTCTCTTATGGTTTAATAAGAAATGTTAATAAAAACATTAACTTTCAAAAAAAAGAGATAATGTGGAGGTTGCTCTCTCTCTATCCCTCTATCTATATGCAAAGACTGTCTATGGAAAGACACATGAGATACTAGTAATGGTACTGGCCTCTGAAGAAAACTGGAAGAATGCAGTCAGAAATGGAAGGAAAACATATTTATTGTGTAACCATTGTTTTAATATTTTGCAAGGTACTCATAATAACCTTTCCCCTCTAGATTTTATAGGAAGAATTTTAAACACACAGGAAATTTTAAAGAATCTTACAGTGAATCCTCAACCACAATTAACATTTTAGAGTATTTGCTTTATCTCACTTCAAATTGTCCATCCATCCGTTATATGTTGTAATATATATCAAAGTAATTTGCAGCATCAGATAGTTCACCACACAAATCATTAACTGGAGCTCAGTGCTTGTTTATATTTTTTCCTTTGAGGCAAATTTTACATACAGTGAAAGGCATAAATGCACACATGTGCAACCCAAACCCCTTTCACAATAGAGAATATTACCATCACCCTAGAAAGTTCCCTCATGCCTCATATCAGTAAGTCCATGTCCTCTGCAGAGGCAGCAGTGATCTGTTGGGTTTTTTCCCATCCATCACAGAGTAGTATTGGTTATAGAATTTCATATATACCCATTAATATGTCTCCTTTCTTTTAATATAATGTTTTTTTGATTCATCCATGTTGTTGCATGTATTGATAATTTCTTTTTATTGCTGAGTAGTATTCCATTGTATGACTATACCACAGTTTGTTTATCCATTCTATTAAAAGACAACTGGTCTGGTTCCAGATTTTGGTAATTATGAATAAAAATGCTGTGAACATTCTTGTTCAAGTCTTTTGGTGGAAACATGTTTTCATTTTCTTGGGTAAATACCTAGGAGAAGAAGTGCTGGTCACTTGAGACAGGTTTATCTTTTATTTCATGAGAAACTGCCAGGCCTTTTCCCCAAGTAACTGTATCATTTTGGTCTCTGACCAACAATGTATGAGAATTCTGGTTGCTCCACATCCTCATCAACATTTATTGTTGTCAGTCTTTTTAATTGCAGCTGTTCTAGTAGGTTTTAATAGTATCTGGTTGTTTTAATTTTCAGTTCCTTGATGACTAATGATATTGAACACTTCTTCATGTGCTTATTGGACATTCATGGATTGTATAATGTCTGTTTAAATATGTTTTTATTATTGTTCAGTGGCTTGAAATGTTTTCTAATATCTCTTGTGATTTATCTAGTGATGATGATAAATGACATGATATTAATCACATTCCTGTGGACGAGAATAGGTCTTCCCCTAACATCTTTTTTCTCTGCTTTTATACTCATTCATAATTATTTTATAACCTATTCATAAGTCAAGTCAAAATTGCCAGGTTATGCTTGCATTTTTGAATTTCCACTTTTGAATTTGCCCAAGTCATTGGTATATATTTATATTTCCTGGAATGAAGTTTCTCTGATTTCCCCCAATTTCTTGTGATTAATGACTGGAAATGGGCGTTTGAGAGTGTTGCTGTTAAGACTACAAGTTACTTCTGAGAGCTGTCAGAGGTTTATAGCTGAGGGTAACAGTTTCCTTCTCACCTAAGCAGAAAGTGGGGTTTGGAAGCAAAGGCTTCAAGATATTTTAAGAATTCCTATTCTCAAATTTTAGTATTCACTTCTGAGTTGGACATAAATTTATTTATAGTATATGCTGGTTTTTAAAGGGTATATAGGATCAGGTTCCTTTCTGACTGTTCCGTACTATCAGTATGTTAATATTAATTTTCAAATTGCATGATTTTCTCTTTTGCTATAATATTGAACAACATTTCATTTTAAGACAGGGAGATTGGGTCTGATGTTGTGATATTTCTAAAACTGAGTAGAAACCACATTTGTTAAATAATGCTCTCTCCCCAAGTCTCATCTCTTTCTGTATACATTTAGTACCCTCTCAGAACACTCTGTGCTAGACAGGTCTCATGTCTTTGGAAATTATACATTTGTGAAACATTTAAAAAGGAATGCAAGCATTAAGAGAGAGAATATATTCCATTTGTTAGTCCAACCTTTAGGCACTGTACTTCCTCTTGAATCTAAGTACTTAAAAAAATTACAGTAAATTTCAATTCCATTTACCTGGGCTTCCATAGTGAACTTCAAGTACCACTCTTTTTGAATGAAGAAAACATTTTTTTAAAGGTTTCCAGAATTCACTCCTCCCCACATTGATTTAAGGTTCTTTAGGGCTTAATTATTTGAAGTTGTTATGCATTCAGTATTTAATTTTAAATCTAACGAATTATTAGTATTTAAAAATAGTGTTTAATATTAAAATTTAAAATATAGATTTTGCTTCATTTCTTTATAAAATATGCTTGCTGTTTCATTTTATGAAAAAATTAATACTGCCTACAGGATATTTCACATCTGGACATGTTTTTCTCATAATCTGAATCCATGGATCTCTCTTTACAGTGTGAAAGAAGTGACGAATTTGTCAGTTAGCCTAAGAAAGAAAAGGGGGAGAAAGAATCACAGTGAATT